AAGAATTTTCTTGCGAAATATAATCTTAATGCAACCCATTTTCCTACACTGACCATCATGATTGTGATCTGCCCTTTCTGCTCAACATTCTGAATGCAATCGTTTCAGTAAAGAAGCCTTACTGAAGTAATCGATGCTTGCCTCACACTTCAGGAATCATTCTCTAAACATACATTCTGCTAATGGGGAAAAATTGCGTACTGCTTTGAAACGTTAGCTAGTCATTATATAGATCGACCTAACTATGGTGTGCATGTATCAAAGTCAGTTTCTCGTCGTGACGCTTGTGGCAGCGCACCGAGGCTATTATTCGTTCAAGCCCTGAGTTGTCAACGCAGCGCGATGCGGCGCCACCACATCCTTTGTGTCCGATATTGCCGCTCGCTTCGCTATGTGCGCAGACAAAACGGCGCGATTTGCTGTTCAGTGACAGGCACAAACAAAAGCGTACAAAGGGCATCCCCCTTTGATCCGCGGTCGCCATGTAGGCTGCTTGCATGGCTCGCCCTTGTATTCGACGGGTGTCATCGCTTCAGTATGCATATGCAAACTAACTTGTCTCTGTTTGCAACCCTTCCGGTGAAGCGAGCGCTTCGGAAAACAGCGGCCGCAATAACCCCCGTACCTTAGTTGGCCGTCCCCCACGGCTGTGCATCTGCCCTTTGTCTTGGCGCGGCGGTAATCCTCAGTCGCTCAACCCTTGCCTAAGTAGCCTGAGCTGTCGGCCAGATGGATAGCCCCCCCAAGACGCCCCAGGATGAGCGCTCCCGCCGCGCGAATCAGGCGCCTTCCGCGTGGGCGCCACGCTGTGCTCGCCACGTGCCCTCGAGCTGTGAGGCGGCGCGAGGTATAGCGTAGCGGGAGATAACGGAATACGAAGCATTCGCTTGGCTCAGGCGCATATAGCGACGTCTAAACACCGTTATCCGTCTCAATTCTTGTCAAACGCGCCGGTGATCGTGTGAATTATCCGAACCTATCCACTCGTGGTTTAACGTGTATTACATGTTTTAACTTCTGAGCGTGTCGGTGCTCACAATAAATATATGTGATGTAATTATATAGAGTTAGACTGCCAGTCACAGATGTCGATTTGACACGGAGGTTTTGAAAAAAAAAAAAAGCTGAATTCTCTAGAAGCCGGTATACAGCCTCACATTCACCGCTGCTCACATTCACCATACGAGTTGTAGTTTTCTATACCGACGCAGCGATCTGTGACATTAAACGCGTCATGCCTTACGAGAGCAGAAATTAATGCTTGACATGGTAAGCGCATCCCGTAAGCTTTTGTTGCCGGCTCCACATTGATTTTCGGTTTAAATCAACGCTGCCGCAACTACCTTTCGCCATTGAAGCTGCCTGCAAGCATTTCCATGTGCAAGACATTTAATAGAACGCTTATCGCGTAAAAGGTGGCCTTATGCCCACACTCGCAGCTATATTGTGGCTTGCTGTACTCTCGGAACTCTTACTAAGCGTCAGTGATATCGAAGAAAGGCCAGCGCAACAGAGAAGTATAGCCAAGTGATTGAACGGCCAATCGGCGACCCTGATTCTGTGGCCGCATCACTTCCGCACGAGCCGCAGCAAAGAAAACTCGGGAGGCGGCCACAATGCACTCGCCGACTCTCCATTAGCCGCGCAGGGGATCGGGATCCATATCGGTGCGCCAAACAATGCTCTTCGACCACGTCACCCGTAAAGTAAAAGTCGTCCGCTTAAAGAGAGGAAGCACGCTGATATAGGTTAAGGCGCGTTTTGCCGAGGTTCAGGGGGTGCACTTATACTGCTTTTTCCAAAACGCATGAGCAGGATAGATTTTAGGGCGCAAAGTCTGAATCGAGAGCGATCAGGGTTCATTGTGGCCCTGGGCTCCACAGCTGTGGTTTATACCATGTCAAACTATGTCCCGTATTTTTGACTCAGCCGATTCATACGACCAGCTTACTATGGCATCTGCGCGATCAAGCACCCGGTAACTAATTGGTATTTTTTTTAAATGTTTGAATTCAGACGCGCAGAACTCTAACGGAAAGTTGGGACGGTTACAACTTTTATTAACTTTATACTTTCACGCGAAGTTAGAGCACGGTGCAATAAAGCAAAGGGGGGCAGGGAGGGTCCATTAAGCGGCTCAATAAAGAAAGCAGCATCGACTCATACTTTCAAGAGCAGCTCCTCACACAGAACGGAAATTATGCATAGAAGAAAACGTAGCGGGAAGAAGATGAAATAAAACCGAATTCCAGAAATAAATACTCGAAATCGGACGATACTGCTTAAGAGAGCGCTGCTTACGCGAGTTAGAAATTGCATTTCCGTCGCCGTGGCATTGCATTCGGGCTTTTTGTTCATCGTTTTTGAGAATGCGACCATTTCGGGAACGTCTGTTGCGGAGAAGGCGACTGTCGTTGGAGGCGTACAGCGAGGGGCTCGCGGCGTCGTGCGCGGTGGCGGCAGTCCTTGAGCGCGGCCGCTGCAAAGTGCACTGCAAACAGCGTCCACCTCATCGATCGCGCGTCGCGGCCATGTGCGTGTGTACACAGCGGCGTCCTCGTTTCCCGCAGTGGGCCCGGGTCGGGGGCACCTGGAGGGGTCCGCGCGGAGCCGGGGGCCGAGGCACCCCGCGCTCGTCTGCATATGTTTCATAGCGAGCCGACAAAAGCCGGATTACCGCATTAGCGTCCATTATACGGGGGGATTATCCACGGCGGCGCACAAGCCAGTCCGCGCCTCTCGGCGGGGGTCACCTCGGCGCGAGAGTGGGGCCAGACAAGGGCGTTTATTTTACGGCGCGTATAAATATTTTCCCGCGCCCGAACGAGGCGCGGGCCCTGACAGCCGGCGTTTTTCCGTGGCCGTGGATTAGCGCCTATATTGGTGCGCTGACTTGTGATTTCGCGCTTGAGAGCGCGCGCTGAAAGGTGCAGTCGCGACTCAAAAGTGAGATGAGGGGATAAGCGGAGGCTACTGTTGCCTTTTAGACCGATGCCCGCGCTGGACGAGGCGTACGAAAAGAGAATAAAGAGGGTAAAAAAGAAGCGGCGATCAGAACGGCAGTGGGCTACTCCCCAAAACGATACTGCGCCATGTACCGGCAGAGGAAGGGCTGGTTCCGGTATTACGCAAAGATAACATCGCTTTCTTGGACTGCTGTAGTGTTCCAGGCCTTGTTTAGAGCACCGAAATGCTTAGAGGTTAGCTTGAGAACATGTTCACAGTGCGCAGGTCACACAAGAAAACGCGTACCCAGAAGCGGAACAATGGGAAAAAACGAAGGGAAATACAATCGGAAGAGGCATGCGACGCCTATTCAATGACCCAGAAAGTACAGCCGCCGTGCAGGCGGTGTACGAAGAGCTGCGCACTGATGCGACTCTGCCTCAGGCGCGCAATGACCTGGTCAGTCTGTTTTGCACGATTCCCACACCCGATTCCACGGGCCGGACAGTAGTGGACAACGGTCAGAAAGAACTTGGGACCTCACGCACGCTACGCCGGACAAGCAGCCCGCGTGACCAAACAATCGCCGTCCCGGTGGCATCCTCGGCGACCGACTCACCATCGCACTGCGTCGGCGTGCGAACAGCGCGGATCGCGCAATGTGCGAACAAAGCGGGAGTCGCGCCTCTCACGGCAAGAGCGCTCTCGACCGAAACTCGGGGGTAAAAAGCGCCGAAATCGAATCAAACTCTGTCCTCGAAATTCGAAGCAAAGATAAAACTACAAATGGAAACAGCCTGAGAGGACACACACGAAAGATTGGGGAAAACGATAGCAACGGGGGCGAATCGCGAGGGTTTTTTTGCAACGAGGAGCGAAAGAGCTCTCACAGAGCTCGCTGCGCGTCTGTGGGCCACGTGGCGGCGGCAGTGACCGGCTGGCCAGTCACGTGTCCGCGACACACGATGGCAAAAATAAACTCGCAAATACTGGCTTCTTGCGTGATGTTTGCAGTCACTGAAGCGCTCTCATCTCTCAAGCATGTGCGAATTTAGCGGCTTCGAAAGTTGTCTTTGTGAGGGACTCTTTATATGGAACGGTTCTTTCCGACATTTTTTTTCCTAGTCATAATATCAATATTACGCAGAAGTGTCTATAAATTGTTCTCGCGCTAAACGTGTTTGAGCCGCGTCGTTTCTTGCTTTCTGTATAACGAGGCTATTTGTTTGTTTGTTTTTTTTCCTTCCTCCCCAAATACTGCGGGAAAACGTTTTGGCTTGCTTCTTACGACGTTTCGAAGGCATCTGTGGCAAATATACTTGCAACATCTCGAAGCATGTTGATTCACGCTTGCACATGTTTCCTCGACCTTAAATACGCCAGTGAACAAAGAAAAAAAAAGACCATTCAACCACCACATCGCGAACTTCTCACGTTACTTCCACCTAACGTATAGCACTGCTGCCGAGGTTCCACACGGGGTCATCCTATTCACAGCGCCCGCCACCGAGCTGCACGCTGTCTCGGGACGATAACAGGATTCGCGCGGACACTGAAAAGGGTCCGTCGGAAAAACGGCAGAGTTAAGCGCGTTTGTTCCGGGGGTTCCTCATCGGATTCTGTGCAACATCAAAATGAGAGAGAGAGAGTGATCCTTTCATTCTTTTTTTTCTTGTTTAAAGCAACCGTCCTTGTCGTGTCACTTGCGTGGTGAAACCATAGTTTAAGAACAGCACCTGGCTGCGCCAACAAAGAACAAGCGCACTGAACCCGGACTGTTTTGTAGTGTTGCCACGGAAACCTCTTTTCTCCTTTAGCTGCAGTGGACTTCGCAACGTTTGGTATTGGTTAGTTATGCCACAGAATGCGTGCCACAGTTGTGGTGGAAGAGTCGCGGTTACTAAATATAAATATAGACGTTACAAGTCAGTACGAGAAAATAGTCGCAGGGTTATTCGTTAGATTTGCCTTGTAAGATGACTGTTTTAGTGCGTTCGTAAGCTCGTCGTGCTTTTCTAACGGGCACGTTTTTTGTTTTATCTTTAAATGCGCAGGCGAGAAGGAAACACCAAGAACTGAGCCCCGACCGTGGTGGATCTGCGAGCAACTGAAACGGTACATAGTGGAGCAACAGTGAAACATCCGCTCGAACGCATCCGAAGAGCTGGCTTCCTGACCAAGGCCAGCTTGCGACGAATGCCAGCGACACGGCGCCACCCACCGGCGGCGGCTGCCGCATCTGGCCAGTGCGCCATGCGATACTGGCAGATTTATTCGCCGCTGCATATTTCTTGCGTTTTTGTACACGATTGCGCCGATTACTCCATGATTCGTATAAAGCGGGACATTTAAACGACATGAAAAGTCGCCGAACGCTCAGACGGGCAATGTGATAATTATGCTGAAGAGAAATGCTCGGTAGAGGGAAAAAAAAAAAAGACGAAGCGAGCGCGTTGCTTTTGTTATGGTAACTGTGATCTCTTGTTTTCTCGCGCGTGGCCTCCTATAGTAAAGCATTCCTTCTACGGTGAGTGAACAGCGAATACTCAGCACCACATGGTGAAATCTCTAAATACGTATTCGAGCTGTTTCCTACGATTCCACAAATTCAAGAAAAGAGAACAACAAATCAACACCGCAAACATCCCTAATTCTTTCCGATCACTCAGGTGGGCGCTGTTATATCGATGGACGGTACAGGGGTTGACGCAGTGTTATCCACGTGTGCACTCCTGGCTTTCCATGTAGCTGCTTCGCCGCCACTGTCAGCTGGACTCACACGCGTCCACATTGAATGAGGGGCCTTATTTGTGGGCGGCAGCGAAGCCCGCGGTGCGCCATGTGCTCACCTCGGTCCCGCGCTCGGGTCCTCGGCCGCCCTCGCAGTTATATGCATGTACAATAGTGTATTTATACTCTGCAGCGCTCGCTTTTCTTGTTTCGTTCGGGAGGTATATACCCACGTACAGTACCGTCTACTGTTAAAGGGAACACTCCAATGCACACAATTAATATTGCTGGCCCTTTAACAGCGAATGGTTATGAAAACAATCAGCACGCACATCACTAGTCTGTAAAGAGGAGAAAAAAAATTCAACCACTAGTAGTCTTATGCATACCTAAGCTATTATGCTTCCGTAAGATAGCCAAATATAAAGACGCAGTGCAATCAGGTGTTCCCTTTAACTGTGAACGCGTCTGTACTTCTTGGCATTACTGTTGCGTGCACCGCTGTGCGCATCGCTCCTGTTCAGAACCGTCGTTGCAAACGGGGCTCAGCTGACGTGCGCATAAACTATGTAAGCCCGTTGGACTCCTGCACATTACCTAGACTCAATATTTAACGAGCGCAATGATAAAAAAACACAGGCAGTTAGGATAACGTTCCTTAAAACCTTTGGTTATGAGCACGGAAGTTTGCGCACAGCGGTTGCTTCATATATATAAAAAAACAAAAAAACACAAATTCATCTTTATAAGCTCCGTGAGCGTGAGTTACGGTAATCAGATGAACATTTTTTTCCCCCTTTTGTTGCTGTTGTCTCCTGTAGATATTGTGAATATATATGTCTGTTCCGCCATGTCTTCGTCTTGCTTCTTGTGCCTCGCCTGTTTCTTGAGATGATGCTCCCCAGCGACGTACTGTATAGTCATGGTGCGCTTTGTGTGTGTCGCCCAAAATTATCTCTGATGTTTTCTTGGTTCGTGTGTGGTCAAGCATTCAGGGGACAGAGCTCAAGCTTACCGTCTACTCAGTATATGTTTTGCGTGGCGCGTTTCTGCAATGTTTGTGTGTTGTAATGCTTGTGTCGACATTACGCCGCCACAGCGATGCGTGCCGTTTCACTGACACTTCACTGCTTACTGACGCGCTTACAGAAATGATCAGTGTGCTTTTACCATAGAACGTATTTTAGTGATCTTTAATTTTGATTGTTACCGCTTGTTATGTGCTTTGGAACTTACTTTGGTTGGACGCTGTCCTCCCAAAAGATTGTATTCGCAGTAACGGAGTTACGGTTGTCACGAAAAAAAAAAAACCTGTGTTCAAATTTGTTTGTTCCTGCTCTTCTTAAATGAGATCGAAGATTCACTGCATTATTAAACAGGGATTTAGTACGTTTTACAATGGTGTGTTAAAAGAATTTTTTCCGTTTTTCTTTTGGTGTGTGTGCAGCGATTCAAGTCTTATTATTATACGTTATCGTGCTCTCTCCTCTGAATGCGGCGCAACGCTCTGTCTGTGTATTAATCTTTTTTTGCGAGTGTTGTTCTCATTCTGGTGGTTGAAGCAAATCTCTTCTGTGAACTGAACAACCAAGGACCGAGTCTAGTCTGGGTACTATGTGTAATGCTATCGCTGTACATGCGAAGAATTGTATAAAACGTACACATAAAAAATGCTTACAATTAGTTGTTTTATTCCTTGCGTATTCTTGGTGGGCATTCTCCGACGAGTCGGCATTCATGCCGCATTCCAGAGAATTACCGACCAAGCTTTCCGGACTAAATGAGCCTGGTCGATATTTTCGCATCGACTGAAAACACAGCACTCGCTCACTCGTGCTGGCCTGGTTTCTGTTTACATTAATAATATGAATAAAATATTTTAAAAGATCGTCTTCACAATGAGCTGCAACATACAGTTGTTCATAACTTTATTATTTGGTTGAGCATCTTCTAGTTCTCCCACTAGAATCTCGATTTTAAACGGTAATTATTTATGATTTTGGCGAAAATGGGCAAATCAGCAAAAAAAAAAAACTTCTAAAATGTAGTGCGGTGGTCGAAATTGACATGCATTGCCGTCTGGCCACAGCTGGGTCGACTGACTCAGAACAATTGCTGCATGGCCTTTCGTGCTTCATTGATGATTTGCACGAACATTGACAGCACGACAAAACAACGATTCTGCAGCGTACCTGTACACTGTGTAATCCTGCAAACAGTTGCAGCATCTCCGCATGCGACTGTGCTTACTTTAAGTAAAGTGATCTCTCTTGAAGCGGTTTAGCTCTGTCGGAAGCGATTCGTGTGAAAGCAGTATATACTCAGTCTATTCACGAACTTCACCCCTTATATAATGCGCAAGTGCGCTTCCCCGCGCTGAATATTTGTTCTACTAATGGCGGCACGTGCCCTGCTTCAAACGGAGACGAAGCCCTAGTTCAACATGCTGGGGTTCGTCTATTATGAGCATTAATGTCGAAAGAGTTGACCCTACATTCCCACGTTACAGCGCAAGTAGACTGTGTGTACGCTTGGGCACTCTGCAGAAAGTGACTAGCCGCCATTAGTCGGGCGAAGTGCATAGCAGGAAAGCTAGCCTTACAGTTATGAAAAGGATCTATATAGCCAACGATTCAAGTATGGAGGAGAAAGTGTGCACAGACAACTTAAGGTAAGTGCGAAGGGTGCACTCAACAAAGTTCAAGAAACTACAGGAAACTTTCAACCTAGACATCACTGACAGGCACGGAGAGCGTCTCTCGATGGGAAAAGACGTATTAAATTAGAAAGGACCTAAAAAGGCTGCACTAGCCGTGCACGTAATGCTTAGGAAACAGCGAGGCTTGGGGACTTTACGTGACCTTCTTTGCTGATGCTGTGTTTTTCCTATAGGCGTAGACAAAGTACAGAGTCTAACCGCAGCCTGTCACAGACCATGCAAGAGTGTCCCAACTCCAGCGCCAGAACAAACGTGCAAAGATAATGGCTGTGGCGCCCTCGGTTACAGAAGCGCGGGCTTTTCATTCGTCGCTCCTACACGGCTCACGTGGCGGGAAAACTCGATATGGTGACTGCGTGGACAGCCTTCATCGGTGGGCGCGGTTCTTTTTTGTGTGTGTGTGTGTGTGTGTGGGCACCCAACATTTTAACTCGAGCTTTAAGAGCTTCGCTCTTAAAACATAGAGATAATGAATAGAAAGCTTGAGTAAGCAAAATGAAGTAAAGAAGGCCCGTACGCAGACATCGATTGTGAGCTATAGAACCAACAGATTTAGATCCAATAATGAGAGCTTTATAACTGCAGATACTTTCAGATAAAGTGAGTGGACTGTACGGTATACCTATTTAAATTGTTATAGAAATTATTCGAAATTCAGTAAATGTCATTACTATTTACGTCCACAAGCTGATGATTTGATTGATTGATATGTGGAGTTTGACGTCCCAAAACCACCATATGATTATGAGAGACGCCGTAGTGGACGGCTCCGGAAATTCCGACCACCTGGGGTTCTTTAACGTGCACCCAAATCTGAGCACACGAGCCTACAACATTTCCGCCTCCATCGGAAATGCAGCCGCCGCAGCCGGGATTCGATCCCGCGACCTGCGGGTCAGCAGCCGAGTACCTTAGCCAATAATAGACCACCGCGGTGGGGCTGACGTCCACAAGTTGAAAAATTTCTACGAAACGAAGGCAATGAAGCGAAATGCTTCTCATTTTGGCCATTTCATTCCGGCTACAGGTGCAGCGAAAATATATGTATGCCAAAGTGAAGATAACACAAAATTAGCTCGTTGATTTGATTTGCGGGGTTTAACGTCCCAAAACCACCATTTGATTATGAGAGACGCCGTAGTGGAGGGCTCCGGAAATTTTGACCACCTGGGGTTCTTTAACGTGCACCCAAATCTGAGTACACGGGCCTACAACATTTCCGCCTCCATCGGAAATGCAGCCGCCGCAGCCGGGAATCGAACCCGCGACCTGCGGGTCAGCAGCCGAGTACCTTAGCCACTAGACCACCGCGGCGGGGCCAAAATTAGCTCGTGCATGAGATGGTTCAGCCGGTATTTTTCAGGCCACAGGCAAACACCTATAGGTGTGCTTTGGAAAGCTTGGTCTGAACAAAACTAAATGGCACTCGTAAGCTGCATCATGAATCAGCGCGAGTCACAACTGTGCTGCTCCGAAATCCACAGGATGTCGCAAGTAACGATAACAGCCCGAAAACTAGTTTCTGCGAAACTTTTCTTGGTGATGAGTTTGAGTCGTAGAGTTACGTCACAACGGGAGACGATAGTGCACAGTTAGTACTAATAGGTGCAAGGTAATATGCTGCAAGCTGGGTATACACCATCCTGAGGGAAAGGTTTGCATACATACAGTGATCACGTGTTCTTTTAGCGATGAGTAATCACATGATCAGGCTAGTGCACAGGATGATCACACAGGAAGTAAATTGCAGCTGAGTGTTCACTGATGAACTAATGAACGCGATGTGCAGCATTACGAAGCTTACTTGCCAACACTCAATTCGGATGAGTATACTATACGCCGAGTATCACATTTTCATTTTTTTTTTCAGATCTCCCAGCTACATCAGCCATAACACGTGATTGTACTTAGATGTCCCCGTTCCCATTGTGTGTGTGTTCTGTGCTAGTACCAACTCAGCCTTATATTTCTAAAAACGATACCATATATCAGAACGTTCATTTGCGAACCGTATGAATACGAACCGTACCTGAAACGTGATCTCGCTTTCGGCCAAAAATTGTGAATGCTATAGAACGCATCGTTCGTTTGCCCTGCGGATTACAGAACTTCGCTTGTGATGAAACAAACATTACGAAAATGCCACATAAACGTCAATTCTCACTTAGTGATTACGAAAAAAAAAGTATGAATCAGAAGAAACTTGACAAGTGATTACACGTGAATTAGTAGCATCAGAACTAAAATGAAAATAACTTTGCGAACCACGGTAACTTACGCATCAAGACCTTTTCGTCCACAGATTTTAACAATAACCGCAAGAACAGCCAGTGTAGAAGCAAGGTGATTGTGGGGTATGCTATTATTGGCAACGCTAATTCATTCTAATATAAATTGTTTCATAACCTGGGCTGTAAAGATACGCCACAATGTGAGGTTCGAATATTGTCTCAGGCATATGCATTGAGAATATCACAAAATATTCGAACCCACGACCTTCTGGCAGTGTTGTACAGAACGGCGTTCCAGAAATTATAGTTTCTTTTGGGAGGAATGTATATATATAAGAACACCACCGTTCCATTCAGGATTGGCGGAACGGTTACTCGTTACGTTAACGAAGGAACGGTAGAGGGAACCGTTCGAGTAAATAGAGAGCGAAAATAGAGAACGAGTAAATAGACAACGAGTAAACAGAGAAAGAAAGAAAAAAGTTTTTGGCAAAAAAAAATAATCTCGGTGAGGCGAAATTCCTCGACCCAAAAACGTGCATCGTAAACACTCGGCTATCCAGTCTTTTTTTTTCTTGATATCTATTCATTTAAGGCATGGAATCTTGAAGTTATTTCCTCCATATATATACAAAGAACTGATATGTTCATTATGCTCGTATCGTGGCCACACCAGGAACATATATATAGGAATAAAGAATCAACATTCATCTCTAAAGCGAATACATCAAGCAACGGCCTTTTGCAACCATGCACTACAACAGTGGTAAGTACACTTTTACCTTGATCGCCGCATTTATCCGCCCCCACATCCCAAACTTAACAGACCACAGGTGCCAACCCTACGCTTACTACAAACGCACACGTCCCCAAACCTCGCCAGCTGGCAAGTTTTCTATCCCGATGCGTATCCAAGCGACACGTGCCCCACATGCGGAAACACGGCGACACTCGCACAGATGCTCTGGGAGTGTAGAAACGCTCATCTCGACTCTACCCCGGATAAGCGCAGAAGCTGACTTCTCGCTGACTAGCAATGGGCCGTCCACAGGCCCGCGAAGCGGCCGACAGGTAATCCCTGTCGGTGCCTACGTGGGAGACGCCCGCTACGCGCTAATCGTGTCCTGCAGGACAACAATGTTGTTAATCCACTCCATTTCACATAGACGCATCACCAATGCAAATACCGCTTTGGCTGATTTTAGTTTTGGTCGTATAAAGCTCTTAGCTGAGCGACCATCCTAATAAAGTAGGATGTTGAGGAAATTGTTGGCTATGCGTTCTCCGCAACATGGGCGTGCACGCCAGCACAACACAGCATAGCTTTGCATAGCACAGTATCAGAAGGGGGTGGGAACGGGTTGTGAGGTTGAGGAGGAGGGAAAGGGCTAGGAGGGACCGAGGATAATAAGAGAGAGAAAGAAAGATGGAAATGAATAGAGAAGTAGAAAGAGTGAAGAAATAGAAAAAAAGAAAGAAGGCAAGAGAACGACTACAAAAAGAGCGAAAGAAATTTGTATAGTTGAAGAGAAAAATATAGAAAAAATAGAAAAAAATAGAAAGGAAAGAAAGAGTGAAGACTGGAAAGAGAGAGAGAGAAACACACAAAAATATGTTGGCTGACTGTTAAAAGGAGACTTCAGTAAGTCGCAAACATATAACGTGGACATTATTTTTTACACTCCCGCTGAATATCGAATCTGCACTCATTAAACCCGTAACTATTGCCTGTT